CTGCACACTCTTTTATTATTTCCTTCCTTTCTTCCTCTTGCCTCAGGGATGTGTTTGGCAGGTCAACACCTCAGCAGGTGGGGTGTTGTGGGCCAGGTGACCTTTGTCTGTCATTGTTTTGCTCCTCACACCTCACCCAGGGAGAAGGGGAAGGAGCTTAGTGTATTACACCTGCCACTGACTTTACCGTCGTCGTGCTAGATATTGGTGCAGGCTGGGGTGATGTTGGTGTGCCAAGGAAAGTAGAGAAGGTCCCAAATGAACTGTACACGTAGCCAACAGTTGGGAAATACGAGACACCTTCGAGAGCGAGGGCAAGTTGTGCAAACCCGGGGATACAGTGGATTGAACCTCTGAGCGCTTCTATTAGTGTCTGCTCTGATCTACACCCAACCAGGTTGAAAAGAACCAAAACAAGCAGCTCCTATGTAGATAACCATAACAAAAGTGACACTAGATTCCAAATGCGATTTGCGTTCCTGCATGCAGCATTGAGAGATAAATCAAACGTACCTTGAGTGAGTAAGGGGACAGAGATGAAATGAAATACCCAAATGCTGCCTCCACTGGGGCCTGATTGAGTTCAGGTGGCTGGGAAGTGTCTCACCCAGGGCTAGTTGTCAGTGAAGGATCTGCTGTCTTCTCATCTCTCTGTGCTGCAGGGCTAACTGGTGAACATCGGGTGTGTTGCTTTGACGGATGTTCATGTGCCTCCTGTGTTGTGGGGGGACAGGCCGTTGACACACTTCATATTTCAAAAGCAAGGTCTGAGGAAGAAATGAAGATTGATGCAGAAAAATGGTGCTGCAACCCGTTGCCCTTTCGATCCATATATTATCATTTACACATACATGACACCTTTGTGCATGACTGTATAACTGTATATACATATGCATGGACATGATCCAAGGCACCACACATATTTACATGGAGCTGGGTGGGGGGGGGGGATTTCCTCTGTTATTAGAGACATGTGATACAATTGCATTTGATCTCCAAATAAACAGGGAATCAGTCCATCTCCTTGGTGAAGATGGCAGATGAGATGGACGAGCACATTAGCATTGAAGACAACATTAGATTTGCTCAAAATTATTGATCTTTTGTTTGTGAGCCAAGTCGGCGATAAATAACAGTGCATGGGAGATGTGACTCATTATCACCGTGCCAAAAGCCCGACAGACCTCTGTCAAAGCACACTCTCCTTCCCCCCTCTCTTCCTCCTTCCTTTCATCTCCATCACTACAAACCAATTTAATCTGTTTTTAATCCTTCCCTCTTTTCTGTCACTGGCGCCTTTAATGCTAGGCCTCACTGTCACTATCTGATTCCCTTAAAATTTAATCCTGCACTGATAACCCTGTATTATTACATATTACGCACACACAGGCAGCAGGACACTCACACATACATACACATACACATGCAAATATGTACACACAACGTTTAGTGGCTCTCTTAGTGTTTTATTCCTTTTTACCTTCTTAGAGAAGAAAAAATCCTTTTATCACACAATGGGTAATTTATATCCATTACCAGCGTTTTCAATCCTTTTCAGCACGGCTGTCACTGCCTTTGGCACACTCGTGATTAATGTGATCTAATAATAGTCTGCCATTATATTTCCTTTAGTAAAACATGTACCAACATCCTATTCAGCTCCACGAAATTCATTGCCCCTTAAAATATTTTCCCCTTTTCGTTTGAAAGACAAGATTGCTGTTTTTTTTTCTCCTCCTCGTTTCCTCCTAGGAGGTGATTATTTGTTGGTGTGGGGGATGGGGTGCTGGTGGGTTAGTAATGGCACTTCCCCTTTTTTCAGCCACTTATGAGGATGATGAGATTCATGATTCAAAGGTGGTGCCACGATTCAAGGTGGTTTGTGTGAATGCGTGTGTGTGTGTGTGAGCGTTTATGTGTGTGTGTGGAAGTGTGTCTGCAGGTCAGGATGATTGTGCGGTCCTCGCGCTGATAGCTTAGCGCTGATGTGCCTCGCTGAGTGGCGTGGTGTAGAGGTTAGGAACAGCCTCAGGCGAGTAGGGCAATAATTAATTTTTTAAAAAGTGAAACATGACTTAAATGAGCCTACATGTTCACATGGCTTTGTACATTTTTTGCAAGTTTTTCTCTATAGAAAGAGCAACCAGAATGTATATAATATTTACAGAAATACAGCAATAAGCGAACCATTAGCTGTAATTTTGGTCTTTAACTGCTGATTTTGAGGGAAATTGTATTCACCGCATACAGTTAACTGTCCGAAAGCTTGACCACAATTGATTTTTTTCTTTTTTGAGCAGGTATTTTGGAATGGGAGATGGAAGGGAAAGATTCGCCCCATAGAATGTGCATAGGATTATAGGTGTGTGTATGTGTGTGTGTGTGCGTGTGTGTGCGTTTGTTGCTGGGGAGGTGGTCCAGCAGTGGGCTCTGTTCCCTCCCAGCCGGACAGCCTGAGCCAGTCTGCCACTCATGGGGCACGTTTCAGATGGGGCGGTGCCAACGCTCGCACACACACGCGCGCACACACGCAAACACACACGAATAAAGTCGTGCACACACAAAAAACACACACCATCCTGGCTCCCTCCCACAAAGAGGGTTAACCCTTACTGGGTTCTTAGACTTGTATCCAGGATGAACAGGTGGTCCCACAAAACATGGGCATCCATTTCCCCATGACTTATCCTAGTGTGTGAATGTTTGTGTGTGCGTGAGGAGGGAGGGGTAGACATGGGTGGGGACGGGGGTGTGCACATGACTGCGTAGCTTTAGTACACCTTTTGTATATGTGTTGGATTTGTTTGGTATCAGGGTGTCTGGTGTACAGAGCAGCTTGCGGAGGGTCCCGCTGCTGTGTGAAATTGACATCAGATGGCCATCGTGACAAGAACAATATTACATCCAAGTTTCATTTAGCAAGGGACAGCTAATATATGTGTGCCGTGTGAACATTTGTTTGTGTGTGTGTTCATCGGCACCTGACCCCAGAATCTGACTGCACCAAACACAGCTGTCAACACTTTACATCTATGTTTTTTCCCCTTCTGTCCCTCTTTTCTTTTTTCCAAAATGTTTTTTTTTTCTTCCTCAAATCCCTGCATCCAGGATCCTTCCATTAAAGATAACTTGTATTGAGCCGCTTCTTATTCCCTTCAATCTGCCTCTCCGCTCCTGTCTCAAGTGATCCCTTCCCAGCAGAGAAAATCGAAGGTAAACCTCTTCTGAGGCAAAAACGGTGCACTCCACTTTGGATGTTTTAAATATCACTCCCTGACGGAGGAGGAGACGCGAGTTGCTTCAGTAAAAAACGTCAAGAACACAAAGTTATGTTTATCACTTGACCCGCTTTGATAAGTTACTCTCAGCATCTGTTTACAGCACGTAGCCGAGACCTTCTCTGCCTTTGATTCACTCTGCTTTAGTTATTTGTTCATTTGTGATCTGTGTCTCAGCCCCTCTGAACCCCAGACGCATGTGGAATAGACATTTTAAAAATATGAGTAAGTAAGCAAAGAGAGAAAGGCAGAGAGCAGAATGGAGCCGAGGAGATAAACATAAACAGCAGAGCGAAAGAAGGGAAAGAAGGTTTCTCTCTGAGTCAGCGTGTTTTAGTAAAGTCTGATTAAACGAGGTAGGAAACCGCTTGGGGTAGTAAATAACAGAGGTGTCAAAATGTTGCTTAATGACCTGGATATCTACTGCATGAAATATGTATCTGCAGATCTATGCAGGAGCTGCTGTTTTTTTTTTTTTTCCTTTAATGCCTTAATGTGTAGGGGGAGTTCAGATCTTTAAAATAAGCTTACGGTGAGTGAAAAGCGAGTGTGCTTTACAGGTTTTCTTTGCCGAAGACAAGTGAAGCACTTAATGTTGTACACGTTACTCATGTCAAGAGCGGTATCATTTTTTTCATGAGGAAACACAAATTTGAACATCACTACTTTTTTAAAGGCCTGAACCTGCAGTTTGAAGCATGAGAATCTTTTACAGAAATTGTCAAGATCCACGAGCACTCTTGGGATTTTAATGTGTAGGTGCAGTTTTAACCCTTCGATGCACAAGATGGGTCAAAATGAATGAATGATTTAGCATTTTGTATCTTTGTATGTCATGCATTTTAATACTCAGTATTGACTGGTAGGAAACTGTCAAGTGTCAGAAGTGTTTCTATACATTTTGTTTATGATTGCAATCATATTTATTTTATTTAGTTGTAAAGGCATGCGAGTACAGACAAAAAGAGAAAGAAAAAATCATTGTCAATGACCATCTCCCTGATACAAGGACGTGTAACTTCAGGCCTGTAAGCACAGGTTGATCTGTCTACTATTGATGAACAGAATCGCACACTATGGATGTTTATCATGCATTTTTAAAGTCTTGTTATGCCCTTATTTTACAAATACACCCTCATATTTTGTGTTAAAAAAAGACAATTTACACAACAAGTATTATCTGCTAGTGGGATGCTGTAATGCTACATTTATGAGCCATGCCAATACACTGGTTGTTATATTCAATCAATAACATGATCAGCTTTATCAGTTTTAATACATTACCCTTTACATTATTTTTTTCAAGTAATTAACTCTATTTTTATTAAATAATTTAAATTTAGACATTTGTTTTTGATGTGGTATGTTGGTGACAATTATACAATGTCCAAAAAATGTAAACAAAAAAAGTTAAAAATACAATATTTGTAGGGGTTCGTAGAGCAACATGAAGAAAAATGGACCGACAGACAGAGTTGAATGAACACAGAGCTGGAGGTAGTCAGAGGTTATTGCAGCACAGTCAGCAGTGCATCAGTCGATTCACCTTCCCCTCCTCTTTCCAGGGGGGAAACCCCTTCCTGAGGAGGGGATGCTGGGAGCAGAGAGAGAGAAGGGAGGGGGGGCAGTGGTGGCGGTGAACTCAGCACTTTCCTTATCTTCTCTCTCTCTCCCTCTCTCTCTCCCTCCCTCTCTCTCTCTCCCTCTCTCTCTCTCTCCCAGGGATCCCTGATCAGTGCCGACCAGAAGCGGAGCTGAAGCTGGCTTAACGGGGCTAAGCACACTGTCACGCTGTCTAAGAAACCACCCCCACCCACTGTCTGAGGTGACTGTCTGAGGTGACTAAGGGCTTTCAGGGAGGAGGAAGTGTGGAAGGGTGGGAGGAAAGGGAAGGGAGAAAAGTCTGTTTGGTGGGTGGGGGGGGGGTCGACTTGGGGTGAAGAGTAAGGTAGGGGGAATAACTGTGGACTCATTTGGGTATTTATTAGTCACAGCAGTCTTGCATGAATGGGTGAAACTCAAGTGAAGCGGGCAGGAAGGAAGAGTGAGGGTGAATAGAGAGCACAAAAAAAAAGATGGGGTGAGGAGGAAAAATGTCTGATGAGCCCATGCAGAATATTATTCACACTTTGATGCAAAATGGTATCGATGACGATCACCGTGTCAGAATAATGTCACATATACACACACACACACACACACACACACTCAGCAGTTGGCTGGGAGTGGACATACAGACGGACCGCGTGAGCATATCAACAGATAATTCAGATTTAATCCAATTAATTATCCGTTGTAGTAGGGTTAGTCTATCTTTAAGTCCACGTTGACTGTGTCTCACTGCCCTGGTCATTCCTCTCCCCAGCGTCCACACCGGTAGCTGTGTATTGTTCATGGCCTAGGTTATGTAATATTGATAGACATGTGTCTGGGACTTGACCTACGATTGAGGGCTTCATGTGCAGGGAGAAAAGTGCAATAAAATGCCTAGGACAATATACAGAGAAGCTTTAAAACCTCCACAGCATTGTCAGTCTGACTGACTGAAATGGAAACCCTGCAGGCCGCTGTGGCCTGACACTCTGGCATGCTCCAAGGATGCAAGGTTAGTTCACCTAGCAGCTATTTCTTGTCCAACTGTGGAATTGCCTTTGCCATCATATTGGGAATATCTAGCCAAGGTGTGGATGAACATGTTGCATTCGTCTGTTAATAGCAGGCCGAATACATGTAGCCTTGGTAGAGATTTATTTCAGTTGATATTAAAGTGGGGACTGACTGCGAGGCTGGTTTGGCATCTCAATGCAGTAGCATGACAAAGTTGGTGAACTCTTCTCACGTCACCTTCTCTCATGCTTTCCTTTCCCAATTTTGGAAGCCGACACTAAATGGATCTGCAATAATTCAGATGCGAGTGGGAGGATATATACATATATGTGTGTGTGTGTGTGTGTCTGGGTGTGAGTGTGTCGGCAGCTGTGTGTCGTTGTAAAGTCAGGCATTATGGCAAAAAATGCATGAATAATTTAGCGCTCACATTATTTTTCGAATGCCATTCTTTAGAATCTGACTGCGTCACTCTAACAAATGCGTATGTCGGAAAGTTCAGGGGATTTTGTAGAGTGCCTGTGAACAGTGAGTGATGGCAACCAGCCGACTCTCAGCTCCCTCTTGTCTACCAACAGCTCCATGTGAGCCCCGTGCACCATATTCCTTCTCAGAACTAACACCATGGTGAATCGAAACAAAAAGGCCACATATTTTATTTATGTGTCAAATGTGTAGTGAAAGGAGGGTAGGAAGGAGGTTGCAGGGCGTATCACTCCATCTGATATCATTCCATCCATGCGGATCCATTCTAGCAGACAGGGGGGGAGATGGGAAGGGAGCGAGCGCAAGAAGGAGGGAGGGAAGAAAGGAAAGCTGAAATGGTGGTCATATTGATTTGTCAAAGAAATACAGCATTGCGTGATTTGCTTAAACGTCCACATAAACCTGAGCTGTCAGAGGTGGGCGTGCATATATTGACATTTGGCCACACAGACATGGATTGTAGATTTTCTGTTTGGCTTAGCTACACACAGTCTTACCCGCTGACTTCATGGGGAAACAGCTAAAGTGGCCATTGTTTTCTCAAAAAATGTACTTCGTAGAGTGCTGTGTGTCTTAACTCCCCAATCTTCCTCCAAAAATGTTCTTAATTCGTCAAACTGCCACATTGCTACAAACTGCTTACAATTTTGTGACAGCATTTTTTAACTTAAAGTCCACTTAGTAGCTTTTTGTGAAACTTTCAGCTGTATCCCTCATGTCTAAGTCAGCACATATGACTTAGACATGGTCTGTGGGTTTCATATTTAGCTGCTACATTACAATTTTACTATGGCTTACGTTTACTATTTTATGAGATCATAAAGTGCACTATCACTAAAAAAATTGAATGAAACCGAGTGAAACTGAATGGAATACTCGTGCAGCATACATGATTCATGAGAAGAATAGAGAAGTGACCTTCCAGGGACTTCAGGTGCCTACGTCTAACAGGCTCACTGTTAAGCTTAAGTTCACTGGTGGGCCAAATTCCAAGAAACATGTTTCAATCCAATAACACCTCCAGCATTTTAAGCTTCATTTAACCACTTAAGTCCCAGGCTGTTTGATTTTATTTTGAAAAATCCACTTAAATTAATTTACTACATTCAAAAGGCCATGATGAACAATTTATCTAAATATAAAGGAAACACTGTTGGTCTTTGTATCCATTACAAGACCAACGCAAGAACAAAGTTTTAGTATTTTACTTTGGCCTACACAAAATTCCAAGTTAGAGAGTGCATAACAGCCTCATAATAATGAGTCATTGGCAGTGATGCTAAGCTACTGACAATTCTGAATTGTTCTCTACCAAATGATGCAACAGAAATAAAGCACACACATATTCAACCCATTTTAGTCACAGTAGTACCAGGAGGCCACTACATTTTAGCCATTTGGAAAGAAAGTGTGCCATATAACTCTTCTGCCTCCTGACAAGTAGTTTAATTGCAAATTCTCCATGATACTTTTGTCTCTTTGCACACAATGTGCTCATAAGACAACATATTCTATTTTATTTTGTTTTATTTTATTACTTTATTAACCTCCAAATGGCTATTTTTCATTGCAGGCAACTTTCTTACAAAATTACAAAAGTATTAACTGAGTAGTCACACTGAAACTATGACACCACACAAAGGCCAAAGAATGACGTACACGGATACTACATAGATACTCCTAACAGGCCGTAAAATAATTCACTTTCAAAACTGCAACACATGTGTTCAGCTTCAGAAACAAAATACTAGCCTCCCTTTTCCTTTCCACCATTTTTTACAGTGGTGCAACAAACATCAAGAAGTGAAAAAGCAGGACAAACGCAAACGTTACCACTCAGGCATACTTTACACTTGTTTTGTTGACATATTCTGAAACGTCAACTTCTGACCTTTTTAAAATGGCTAAACACACTTGGCGACCTCTCAAAATGGTGGCCCCTGCTTGCACTTTTAAAAGAATTTGACCCAGTCCTAGTTTTAGGACCATTTAGGAAGAAGTGGTTAAAACCTAACTTGCCATTTCTGCAAGATCCAATCCATTAAAAAAACATAATCCATATAAACATTGCCACACATATGCAGCTGCCTAGTATTATTATATTCCTAAAATACAGCAACCTTTGATAAAAAAACAAAACAAAACACTGCTCTGTTTTGTGAAGATAGAACCTCACTTAACACCACCCATGCAAAATTAGCTGACTCTTAGATCTAGAAAACACCAAGACAGCAACATTGTGCTTAATTGGTTCAAGGAATCTGCCAGGGATTCTGTTGTGTTTATCCACCTTGAAAAAAGTCTCACATTTGACCATTGGAGAATAGAGACAAGCTCTCTTCCACTCTGTGACTACATACCTGGCACAAGGACAAGAGTGGAGGGAGGAATGAAATTAAAGAGCAGTTAAAGAAAACTGGAGAAAAGAGCAGAGAGTGTGCACAGGGCCATAAAAGGGATAGTTTAACCATTGATCGAGAGCAGTGGTGGAAATGGCAGCTGTAAATCAATTTTATCTTGGAGCAGCTAAAGAGTGTTTTCTAATGAGGTTAATGCCATGTAATGTCTAAATTCCTCTGCTTAAAAGATGCCCTCAAGGTGGTGGCGAGAGATAGATGTCGCCATGGAAAGCTTAACACCTCACCATTCAGCGCCAAGCCAAGGGATGCCTTTTTCTTCCATGGAGTTTGCATTCTAAATTATGTTATCCCTTTATTTGTTAGAAGGTTTCAAGGGGTTATTTTATCATCCGGCACACCTTCGTCTAGACAGCTTGTTTTATTAAAAGACGGATACGTCTGTGGTCTAGATTGGGCGTTTAGTAAATTATTCATCCTCTGTCCACTTCCCATATGATGAGCTCCTGCCTAACCACCACTACAGCATATAACACACAACGGATCATGTGCTATTTCACCACTTTCAAATAATTATGTCAATCACATTTGAACAGGTATGGGAGTTTTGGAATACCACTCATCATCTCAGTGCTAGGCAGTAGGCAGTCTAGCATGCCATGCTGGAATGGGCCCAGCACTGCCACTGAAAAGACAAACTAACCCAGTGGTAGCACTGTAAGGTCATGCATGTGGATGGTCTGCTGCTACACTTTGCTTCCAGTAAAATGTGTGAAATTTGGCTACACCATGCATGAAAACAGCACCTAAATGGTGCATATATGCTAGAAAGATCCACCATGGAAGTGTAAAATGGACCAGTCTTCTATTTGTATATAAATATGTATATATATTTACATAAGGTGTGCATGGCCTTCTTACACAGAACTGGGTCATAAAGTGCCGAAGCTGGCCATTGCTTAGTAACTTTATCACTAACAGAGTCTACTGTAGTCTGTAGTCTGTAGATGTCAGCTAACTAGTTGAAAGGCTCACAGCACTGTGGTGGGTACAGAAACCAGAGACACAATCCCACTCACTTACATAATCATACGCCACTGGGCACCAAGGCAAACTAAAATGGGTTTATCAAAGCTTAACCAAGTCTGGGGTTTGGTACCAATAATCTAGATAAATCAGCATCATTGTGACTTTGCCTCGATGCACCATTGAGATCCTTGCCTGGAGTCTTTTCAGGTATAGATGTACCCAGAATACATCCTCCAGGAGGTGGCCAGGAATCAACGTCATTAGTTACCACAAATAACCTCAGTGACTCATCTTGATGCTTCTCCTGGAAATGTAACCTACCAAGCCCAATGGAAGCCAACATACTTATGTGACTGGCG